TTTTATGCTCTTCTTTTCATACATTTTGATTTATAAACTACGTTCGTTTTTATGATGAATATTCTATCATATCTTTAAATTTAATCGTAAATTTTTAATCGTAAATTTCAGATTCTAAAATTTAAGATTAAATTTCAGATTCTAAAATTTATAAAGCAAAAACACGAAAGAATATTATTAATTTTGATAGAACATGGTCAGATAGAAATTGATTGGAAACGATATCTGAGCTGACGAAAATGATACAGAAGTATAGAAACTCTATTAAATATTTTAGATAAAAGTAATCTGAAATTTACAATTAAAAAACATGATAGGATGTTATTAGGTGTTGGAATTAATTCGTAGCGTTTTTAATGAAAGAATGTTATTTATTTCACATGAGCATTAAAAAATACATTAATGAAAGTACTTCCCATCACTTGTAAAACGCTACGAATTAATTCCAACACCTAATATTAATGTCTATTAATTTTCATATAACGTGACCAGATAGAAGTTGTTTAAAAACGATAATTAAGCTATATGATGAAAATGATAAATATAAAACGATAATTAAGTTATATGATGAAAATGATGAATATGAGGAATATATAATAGAAAATTTATATCACTCTAGAGATTTAAGTACTCTGCTTGATTTCTGTATTGTTGATGATAATACGAAGATCATTAGTTTTGGCCAGCATGGTATGGCATTTCTTTCGGCGCACAACCTTATATACATCAGGTATAGTATCAGGATACTCGGATCGATTTGTCATGTGTCGAAATTTTAAATTTTTTAACGAAGAAGTCTTTCTTTTAGGAATACAAAGCCTTGACTGATCAACGTTGATTAAAGAAAAGTCTATTGATCGGGAGGTAGACATTTTAAATTCAAAACATACTTGCTATAACTGATATACACCGTTGCGGAGGATTTATTATAAAAGTGCTCCAGCCCCATGGATCACTCCTGAGCTTAAGATAGCTATGCGAGAGCGTGACCTTGCCAGAAGGAGTGCAGCAGGGATAATAGAAATAGCTATCAGAGCTTTAAGCTGCTCAGAAATAGAGTGCAAATCGCGGTGAAAAAGACCAAAAGTGACTATTATTTGTCAGTCTTCAGTGGCCATGCCATGCTGGCCAAAACTAATGATCTTCGTATTATCACCAACAATACAGAGATCAAGCAGAGTACTTGAATCTCTAGAGTGAGCCTGATACGCTATACAATATGAATTAGAGTCGACGAAGTTATTCAACTGCATACTATCATATATGTCGATAAGCATGTCACTATTGAAGTCGCCAAAAATATTATTGAGTGCCCATAATTAATTTTTAAAAGATTTAAAGATTTAGAAATTCATGCAGGTACCCAATGTTAAGAGGTCTGTATACCATCTCAAGCAGAAGACTAGACGCAGATTCGAACCTCACATAAGCAATCAGGAATTCAGATCTCTCAATTCACTGGGAAAGTCTGGAGCAGGTTAAGGTATCTTTGTCTCGTCAAGACCAAAAGTAATGGTTCACAGTTTCAACATTCAGTGGATGAACTAAATGCTCATTTTGCTCAGACCGACGGACGAAGTACTATTGACTTCGTATGAGATGACAAATTTGACGATAACAAATTTTACTGGAATTATGTTACTCCGATGGACATCAATAAAGCATTTGGTTTGATGAGATCTTGTGCGGTTGATATTTCTCCTAAACTGCTGAAACTTGTTGCGCCTTGTCTATTGAACATATTTTTAACTACTCAATAATGCATGGGGTCTTTCTTGCTCAGTGAAAGTCTATGTGTGTCCTATCCTGAAGATTAGAAATCCTACAATAGTTAATGATTATCGATCCATTTCAATTCTCCCTGCACTGTCGAAGATACTGGAAAGAATTGTATGCGGACAAATCTGTTCTGTATACTGGACAAACATGTCTTATCAGTACACTGATGATATCAGATCTGATCCGCAGACCAGAGGAGAGTCACTGTCTGTATTTTGTTTGACTTTTCGAAGGCCTTTAACAGAGTGAATCATGATATTTTAATAAAAAAACTCAAAGGTATGCACTTCTCTCACTCGGTGTTATCATGGGTTGTATTGTATCTCACGGGCAGGACACAGATGGTCAGGGACTGGTGGAATGATTCTAGTCTCGGAGTTCAGGTTCTTGGGCCTGTGCTCTTCAGTTTATATCTGTTTGCTTTTGCGAGCATCCCCAGTTATTGCAGATATAATTTTTATGCCGACGATTTAATTATTATATTTATTTGGACTGCGAATTGTCCAGACTAATGTCCAATGAAGATTAATAGACATAGATTCCATAGTTGACTGGCCAATCAACTTTTATTAAACGAGGCTAAAATGCACTATCATTGTTGGTACTTACATCAACTTTATTAATTTTGATGCCGGGAATTATGTTTGCGGAGATCCTTGCTCGATTCGTGATGGAGATTAAATATCTTGGGATTGATATTCAGCAACCTGTCGTGGGACAAACAGGCCAATAGCGTGACGAAGAAAATAAGAGTGGTGCTATACCAACTTAAACTAAAGATATGTAGACACTTATTGCCGGAGTCTTTCAGAATGAGGCTTGTTGTCGTTCTGATCCCCTCACACTTAGACTATTGTTGCGCTACCTTCACAGATATGACTTTGGAACAGGATATTAAGCTGAGAAGGATCAAATGCATGCCTTAAGTTCGTCTATAGGATGAAGTGGGATGACCACACCTTATGCGTGCACGCTGGTTGCAGATTAACGCTAGAAGGCAGTATTTTATCTGTTGTTCAATATTCTTAAGATTGAGCGGCCTCGGTCATTCCTCTCCAATTTCGTGTTCTGTACCGAGGTATCGTGCAGACAAATCAGATTGCCTGGTAATTTGCTGATACTGCCGCAGTGTCGTACAGAATTTTATAAAAAGTCTTTTTATTCTACTGCAGCTAATTGGTGGAATAATCTCCCATATGATATACGCTCGATTTATATTTTTAGGCAGAAATTCTGTGCGCATCTGCTCACTAAGTCATAATAATATTTGCTTATAAGTGCTTGGTTTTTGATAAAAATGCGTATTCCTTAAGATATTTCATCTTTCTATATGTTTATCTGTATTTTAATATTATGAATGTCAATTAGATATCTCAGTTTTTTTGCATGTGTGCTTTTCACTCACGCAAACTCTTATTTTTATAGAATATGCTTGTATCATATTTTACTTATATAGTTTTACTTATTAATTTTATTTATATTGTTTTTTTAATATTGAGATGTTTTTTGATGTATACTCAATTGATTCTATTTTGTATTGATCTTAGCGCTTGAGGGGACTTGTCTCAGAGAGATAATAAATGCTTTTCTTCCTCCTTCTCTCTTTCTCACTTCCCCCCCCCTCTCGCTCTCTCTCGCCCTCTCCCTGTTTATGTGTTTCATGTACATTTATACTCGTATGCACATTAAGGTTCACTTTCATTGCTGATTTTATTTTAACTTTGTATTAAAATTAAAATTGTATGAAGGCATTGTGAACAGCAGCTTAATAGATAAAACGCTTTATACAGGGTTGGCCATATTCGACGGAAAGATCTGGGCAACACTGTAACTTTTGACAGAGATGTTAGATCGAGTAACGACGTTTCCCATGATTGAAAAAAAAAACATCTTTCCGTCGAATATGGCCAACCCTGTATGTATGTGTCATACGTACGACTGAAAAAATTTGAAAAGTTGAAATGATTCCTTTTCAGGACACTATCTCTAGATTTCGATATTGGTTGCACCAATTTTATTCGGAATGATTGCAATTGAAAGATATCGGTGACATTATATAATAATAATATTTTTAGATTTTTGATTGCGATTTTAGTTTCTGAGTAATTTTAATCTAAAGTTCATTGATGTCAAAACTCCAAATAAATCTAGTAGTAGCGTCACGAATTTGGCAATAGTACGAACATATAATGACATTCACACATCAAGCGGTCAAATGATCCATCAAGCGACCCGTTTTATAATATATTTTTATGCACTTGGCGTTGCGATGCTTGATTATGTCAGCCTTTTAATATCCGAGCTGAAGAAGCTACATTTTCTCCGAATTTTTGTTTTCTGTTCGCAAATTGAAATAATTTTGTAGCGATTGAGCTTCTCCAAAACATAATTTTAATTTTCAATTCCGCGAAATCCAAATTCTCTAGATTCTGTATGCTTTTCAGTATTACACGCGCTTTTTCTCTTAGACATGATACCAAAACAGCAGTTTTTATTCTTCCTTCCCAACGCATAAGCAATTAAGTCAAATTGTGCAAAGAATTCCCGCAAAGGTGTGCTCCCGTCAAATGTATCCGGTATTTTAATTTTATACTCGTAAAAAGATTAGCGGCATTCCCGACCGAATTTAGTGAGATTAAATCGAATATATTGGCCATACTTGTAGCAGAATTAATAAAACGTTAATAATTTGACGTTCTCGCGACAGATTCGAAACGCAGCATTTTGGCAACACTCACGGGGGAATCGATACATTCGATACAATTAAACACGATCGAATCAATCACGATTTGTAGCACTCGCGGCAGAAGCAGCACGATCGGCAACACTTGCGGCAAAAGCATTTTCGTTACAGGTGAATACAAGTTATTTCATAATGTTATTGGAGAGACTTAGCTGCGTTTGAGTCATAGAGATCTCACGCAATTTCTCCCGCAGCTGAACCTCTGCGTCTCGCCGCCGTAATGTTGTCACAAATTCCTCCTGTCTCCGTTGTTGCTGCGTGATCTCCACGCTGTCGCAGTGATGCCGCGAATTTCTCTTGTCTTTGTTGCTGCTCGACGCGATCTTCATATCACGACACATCACGGGTGTCGCCATGGGCATAACAATATAATAAACTTGTGTTATATAGTTAATATTTGTAAGAAAATGTAATAAAAGACTGAATAATCACATTGAAATGTTAATTTACGAAGATGGTAAATGTTTGTCTTGTCTAGGTGAAGCCTATCTCAGCTGCCGATCAGAAAACTCTCTACTCAGCTATTGCTATGGCACAAGAATTGACAGCACGTTCCATGACAGATCTTGAACATCCTCCGGAGTCTCCTCGTACTCCTGCCAGTCCTTCAAGACGTAGGAAATTCTCTTTTAAGTTGCCACATCAACACAGCCCTAAGCCGGACAGACGACACTTTTCCGAAGAAGCTGCCAGTATACCTGATATACAGGTACATAAAACAATTTTTATTTAATCACAGCACATTAAATTCATACATACTTGCAAGAAAAGAAAGCACAAACATTAAAAAGATATTTTCATTACATATTCTCATTTATTTCATACTAGCGATGTCAAAATACTTGTATATATTTATTATAATTTTTTATTATTATTGCAAATTTTGCAAAATTATTTGGTAATTTTAAAATATTAAACAAAAAGCTAAGAAACGAAAATTTTACAACAAAAGTAATTAGAAAAGGAAGAAATTTCTAAATCATTTAGAAAGTCTTATACAAGCTTTTTATTTAGCTTTATTATTTGATATGAATTGATAAGTTCTTTTCCCAAATCGTGGAGTATTAAAAAAATAATACTTCTTTTGCTCTTAGAACTAAATATTAAAGCAGTATGACACGTTATGTGCACATATTATTGTACTTTTTTTATATTTCAATACACAAAATCCTGCAAAAAATTGTTTTAATAATCAAACCATTTATAGATACTGCAAGATTATACAAGTGGTTCCCATTTTAACTTTGACACCGAAATATCTCGAAATTTATAAAAAATATGGAAAAATATTTCAGACAAAGATTGTAAGATTTTAAAAAGATTTGTTTACTGATCTAGTTACTGATGACATATTCATTTGACATTGGGTGGCGTTGCCAAAGTTAGGACGAGGTGACTTTGAATTTTTTAAATGGAACTTCTTATTTTAGTTTTATTATTATAGTCCTTCCTGAGACTTTCCCAAAACATTATACTTTAAGTCACTTTGGATCAGCTGTTTTGAAGTTATCGAGATTTATGAGATATGTTAAGAGATATGTTCGTCTTGACCTTATCTCGTCCTGACCTTAGCAACGCCATTCAATGTCAAAGATATTATCAGTAAACATATCTTTTAAAATTTTATAACTTTTGTCGGAAAAATTTTTTTGTATCTTTTATAATTTTCGAAATATTTCAGTGTCAATATTAAAATGGGACATCTTGGCTATTAGTTCGGTTTGACAAAATAAAATTACAGCGCATAATTAATAGTACATGTACACGCGCGCACACACACACACACACACACACACACACACACACACACACACACAAACATAATTCAATGAGGTATGAAGTCGATAATTTTCTCATAAAAAGTTGTTGAACTAACTTTTTATGAGAAAATTATCGACTTCATACCTCATTGAATTATAATATGTGCAGTGAATTATTTTCTTAAAGGGTAAAAAGTTCGACAACTCTGATTTACTCTGTACGTACATAGGATAGGATCGGATATTATGAGCACCTTGGAAACATTTTGATATATCTAGTACATTGAAGAATAAAAGATCTTATGCATATACTATTTGATAGATTTGTTGAGGTTTTATGTATCTTAGTATTGTAATTGATTATTTTAAGATAAACATTGAAATGGTGCTTATTTTCTTATTACCCTCCCAGTGGTCATATACCCTCTGGGTAATATTAGCATCCTTAGGAGTAATATGAGCACAGGAAATTTTTGTAACAAAATATGCAGAAATGAAACATTGAAATATATACATATATGAAAAATTTTATTAGAACAAATGCCAATCAAATGTGTGTTCAATATAATCAAAAAATAATGTTACATTTACAAATATTTAGTAAGTATTACCAAATAGTAACAGTTTGGTAATGTTTATTAAATATTTGTAAAAGTAACATTATTTTTGGTTATATTAACACATTTGATTGGCATTATTTTACCATATATTTAATAGCTATTACCAAACTCTAAGGGAGTCAATCACTACTAAAAAAATATACACTAATGATACAAGGGTAAGTCAATAAGTCAATAAATTCTTAGAAAATCTGTCAGAGGGCACTCGCAGTGTCATGTCACATTACTTTTTGACAAGTAGCATCTTTCAGCTGATTACTGTCAAATTTTGAGCGGGATTCCTCGGTTTCATTTCTGTAGATGATTAAAGCGAACAACCTTTGTATTTTTTGCAAAATGGAAAAAAACGAGTTTTGTGCAGTGATCAAACATTTACATATGAAAGGTTTAACTCCGAAAGAAATCAAAGCCCAGTTGGATAATGTTCATAGCACATCTGCACTAGCGTTTGCGACTGCATACAATTGGGTGAATGAATTTAAACGTGGTCGTACATCCACACATGTGATGCACCTCGTTCGGGACGTCCAATTGATGCTGCTACGCCAGAAATCATCGATAAAGTTCACGATATTGTTTTGAATGATCGACGAGTAAAAGTGCGCGAGCTTGTTGAGGCTACAGGCATATCACATGGCACAATGATTTCAATTTTGTACGAACAATTGGATATGAAAAAGCTATCGGCAGGATGGATGCCGCGTTTACTCACTGTGATCCATAAGCGCGACCGTGTGACGATTTCAAAACAATATTTGGAGATGTTTCAATGTAATCCAGATGAATTTCTGCGTCGATTCATTACTGTGGATGAAACATGGATCCATTACTTCACACCCGAGATGAAGGAACAGTCAAAACAATGGACTTCACTGAGTGAACCAGCTCCGAAGAAGGCGAAGACTGTGAAGTCAGCCGGAAAGATGATGACCACAGTTTTTTGGGATGCGGTATAATTCATATCGATTATCTTCCGTCGAAGTAAACGATCAATGGCGATTACTACGCAGCCTTATTGGACCGTTTCAACAATATTTTAAAGAAAAAATGTCTCTATTTGGCGAAGAAAAAAGTGCTCTTCCATCAAGACAATGTATGGGTTCACACGTGTCCGGCACCGATGACTAAATTCAACAAATTGCTTTCCCATCCAGCATATTCGCCAGATTTAGCCTCCTGCGACTATTTCCTGTTTTCAAACCTGAAGAAATGGTTCGGAGGAAAGAGATTCACCATCAGAGAGCAGCTCATCGCCGAAACAGAGACTTATTTTGAAGGGTTAGACAAATCATATTATTTGGATGAATAAGTTGAAGAATCGTTGTATCGAGCTGAAAGGAGATTATGTTGAGAAATAAAAATAAATCGATCAAAAAAATGTATTTACTATGTTTTTCTAAAAACTTATTGACTTGCCCTCTTACTAATGTACATTGCAGAGATTGCTAATTATGGCAATACAATATATTTTATTGCTATTATTAATATTGTTATCCTATGTAATACCACAATATTGCTAAGTGTTGTTAATGTATTGCTATGTACTACTATGTATTGCTACCATTGCTACTTACTGCTTATCTATTTTATTACTGTACTGTTGCAATATATATATTTCTAAAGAAATGTTCACTGATTGCCATAGCGATTGATCTCTCGCCAAACTCTTTTTTCAATGTATGATAAGAAATAATGGAGATGCTCATAATATACGACCACCTATCCGAAAAACTCCCGTGTCTAATAAATCAATAATGATCTCGAGACTTTATGAAGTTAGAATGGCTCAATATTGTTTATTTTATAAATATTAACATGCAGAATAAAATATTTTATCTCAATGTAGATTGGAGATCTATAGAAGTTAGAGGAAAAAACGTAAGAAATAAAAAAATTACGTATCTATTTATTTAATACGATAAATTTTCGAAGTATATAAATTTAGATCAAACTTTGCAGCATATTGGAGTGTTGCAAAGACAGATGCATCTTTTTACAATAGTTGGCACTACTAGTACCAATCATTACAGAAATATAAAGGATGCTCATGTTACCTACAGTGCTTATATATATATGTATATATGTATATATGTATATATGTATATTTATGTATATGTTATATTAGTCCAGGAAAATTAAATTCTTTCTTGCGTTGTGGAGGCAAAATTACTATAAAAGATTTGTTTGAAAGAAATTATTCAAAATGACATATATAACATATTAAAAGTCCTGACCGCTAGCGGACTTGGAAAATTTTTCAGCTTCAAAAGTGCAGTTTTTTAAAAATATCTCAGAAAGTATTCATTTTATCAAAATAAAGGTTATTATCAAAAAGAAAGTTGATAAAATTACGAATAATTTTGTTTTTTTTTGTTAAGATTTTACGATCAATTCTTTCCGTGATAGAATTTTTAAAAAAATATATTTTTAGTATTAAGGTTAAGCGCCCTAATATACCTCTTGCCATGGGATTGCAGGTCGCTCCGCGGGGAACATTATGTGATCCTTGAGTTCTTCTAGATCGTTTTGTGAATATATTCCACTGGTCGTTAGTGCTCCTGGACTGATGTATTTCCATGACGGTTTAGTTGAAGGCTTCATAATGGTAGGTGGTAATGTCTCCACCGATTTAAGCATAATTTTATATCATGAGTTTCCCAAAAAACAGATGCAAAAGAATTACAGTAATCTGAGTTCCGTGACGTGTTAATACATGCGTTTGCGGAGTCAGAAAATATGTTTCATTTTATTACTTCTTCAGCCAAAAGTGTCACATATCCAGGTTCCTTCATAAAATGATACGTGAAAACGTCAGGCAATCTAGCGGCTAGTAATTCTTTTACACAATTAGAATTTTGTCGTGACATTATGTGTTGTTATTTTATCAAAATAAAAGAATTACTTGAGATTCATCGTTTAGTTTTTTGCTGTAAAACAGAATCTGGAAATTCTTGTTCTACACTTTTCTTGATATGACAACTGGCGTTGTAACATTACTGTATGAAGCATCTTCACATATAAAAGAACATGTTTATTTAATTACAACTCTCGACTGTTGAATTTAATGTCAACTAGATGTAACTCTGCGTTTTAAAAATATTATTGAATTACTGAAGATGGCCAGATTGTGGCCGAAACGTTTAATGTTTTAATTAATGTAATAACAATTAAATATCACAAACTAGAACTTGTGCTGTGGTTTTTTATGCTCTTATTTTTTATATGTTTTAATATTAGAACCACGTTAATTTTCAAGATATATTTCTGTATAATTGATTAATTTGAGTGCGAACGTGTCTTTCTACGTATACGAATTTTGAATTTACGTATGTGAAGATATCGATGTTTACTGCTATAAAGCCAGAACTTTTAAAAACTTCAGCACCAAACATCGTTTCGAAAATTATTAATTTCGGTTGTTCGGTTCTGGTAAGTGTATGTCCAGAGGTATATGTTCCAGTGCTAGTTAAAGAGAGAATCATATTGGTCGTGGTTTATTGAGTAGACCGTTTGAGATCGCTCATCAAGTATTTAATTAGCGTATCCATTGTATAGTACGCCATGATCGGAACCTCTGCAATGATTGACAGGTACGAGATCTCAAAGGTATCCCCTCCCTCTATGTCAGTGCAATGAATGGAACTCAGTTCATAGGTTACTCCTGACCTGAAGTGTACACGGTTTGTGTTTATCCGAATGTCAGCGATGTAATCTTGTAAAGTAATTTTGAGGCTGCCTAATACAATGACATTTCCTCAATTTTCATAAGGCTCAGAATAAGCACTGCCGGTACATGCGCCATTATTGTCAACATACCCGGCCAAAATTATTGGACGTAATGCAGTCTGATTAGATAGCAGACCTATTATGTGAGTTCCGGCTATTTCGAAGCTTCCGTAGGTATGCATGCATCGACATACATCTCGAGATACATTGGCTATGTATTTACGTTATATACATTCATCGTATGAGAAAACATTCCGCATCTTTTTACTGTACGATCTATTTCGATTTTACATTGTATTACTTTCACAGATTTAAAGTCGTTGAGTTGAATACTTGTATATAGATTTTGCTAGAGTTTACATTCTGTGGGGGAATATCACATTCTTCAACGTTTAATAATGATAATGTAGTTAAATTCGCTGCTGCGGAGCCACAGTCGTATCCTATTATTTCGTAAGTTCTTTGAGTCCACATTATTAATATAATTATGACGGTTTCTCCTTTGATGCAACAATCCATCATCTGAAATGTTGATTTGATTTGTTTAATTATTATGAACTGATTTAATGTGAGAAATTCGCAAGCGGTTAGGATGAACAATGTGACTATTTTTCTTTATCTTAATTTTAATATTATTTTTGTTTAAAATTTCCAAGACTTCATGATGTCCTGTATACTTTAAATTTTCCAGGTTTTGATCTCTTTAATAAAAATACATGATCTCCAGGCTTGAATTTCTGTGGATTAATTTTCTTGTCGTAATGTTTTTTTGATTTAACTTTAGCTTCTATGACGTTTTCACAAGCATTTGTTTGGATTGCATGGAGTTGTGTAACTAAATTTATTAGGTAATTATTGTAATTAGCTAATTTGTCTTTAGGGTTTAAGAATTTATTTATTACGATATTCTTGCTATTTTACTGAACACTAATTTGTATAGAGTATGTTTCGTAGCCTCATGGACGCTAGTGTTGTAATTAAACATGGCTAAGTCGATCCATCTGTCCCATTATTTCTGCTCGTTTGCGTATTGTTTCAAGTATTCTGCTAATGCGTGGTGTGATCGTTCTAGGGATCCATTTGACTGAGAGTGAAATGCAGTTGTACAGAATTTACATATTCTGAATATTTTTGCTATTTTTTTCATTAATTCACTGATAAAATTTCTCCCTTGATCGGTTAATATAGCTTTAGACGTTCCTAATACGCAAATAAATCTGTCGATAAAGGCTTCTGCTATTGTCTCTGATCCGATAAGGGTATTCCCATGCAAAATTTAGTTAATTGGTCTTGCAAAGTTAAGACATATTATTTTTTAGGTAAAGAGCCTATGATGTCCATGGCTACTTTGTCAAAAGACGATCCTGGTGTATCGGTGATTATCATAGGTTGTTTGGTTTTTACTCGAACTAGTTTTTTTTTAACTGATATTGTAAACATTGTTGTATGTATCATCGAACATTGAACATTGACTTTAGATTTTCCCAATGGTATTTATGTTTTATTCTGTTGTCTTTGTGACACCTCGGTGTCCTCCCGTAGGTAAACAATGCATTTCTCCGATTATCGTAGATCGAAGATCTTTAGGCGGGTATTTAACTATTGCATATAATTAATTTGATTGTTAAATCTACAAAAACTAATTGCAATGTTTTGATATTGTCCCATGGCATGTTGTTAACTTATATATAATAATCGGTTTTAGCAATGCTAACAGTCTTTAATTTTAATTTTTCAGTGACAAACCGTAAATCTTTTATTACGACAGAAATCTGGGTGAGGGTCATCGTCGATCCCTCGCATTGCCCTTCGCTGATAGGCAAGGCTAAATGGTAGTGTTTTTTGTATTTTATGACTTTGGCTTTATTATACCTAGAGCGAGATCTCCTAAGCGAGGGATCTTATTTCTTTCAAATAGTTTTTTTTATGAACCTGAGTCCAACGGTCTCCCATTGGTATCGACAAAATATACAACGTTATTCTTTCGCAAAAATAATAGCTCGCGAAAATCGAGAATATTGTTTTTGATTATTTGATCATTAACAATAATAGGCCCTGTTTTTCTTTTTAATTTCTGAATTTTATGTCTTTCTTTATATCCTTCTTCAAATTCTTCTTTTTCTTGATTTTGAATACGATTACGATGTGGTATATAAAGTCGATAAAATTAACGTAAATGCCGATGCATTATCACGGAAATCCGATAGACCTTGAAGAAGCGAACTGCAATATAATTAATCACCACAAGCCTTTGAACCTTAATGATCCAAAAGATGCAGAAACGATTTCTAAAATGCTAGAGGAATCAGAGGATGAAGAGGACGAGGATTTTAAATTATATTTGACTGATGACGAACCATTTGAAGACTTATTACTAGACGATTATCCACCTGAAGAGGGTACGAATTCAACATCTCTTACACGAAAGGAGACAGAAGAGTCAGCAGAGCCGCAAGCTATGGCTAAACATTAATCATTGAAAGGTAACAGGTGCATTCTTTAATCCGAAAGGCATTCGGTTAAATTCATAATGACCGAAAGGAGTTGTAAACGCAGTTTTATGACTGTCAGCAGGATCCATCTTTATTTGATGAAATCCAGATTCTAAGTCGCATACCGAGAAATATTGCACTCCGCCTAATTGATTCAAAATGTCGATAATGTTAGGTAACGGATATGTGTCCCCGACAGTTTTTTCGTTTAAAGCTCGGAAATCTAATACCATTCTCCATCGTTTATTTCCTTTTGTGTCTTCTTTTTTGAGAATTATAGGCGTACTATACGGTGACTGAGAAGGTTTTACGATGCCTCTTTCTAACAGTTCTTCTACCTGTTTATTTATTTCTTCTTTATGAATTTGCGGGAATCTGTATTGTCGCGTATTTATAGGGCGATCATCCGTTGTAGATATTTGGTATTGTAATATATTCGTTACTGACAACTTCTCTCTAGGGATGTGAAATCTGTCCTGGCTGTCAGTTATAAGTTTCATTACACTTGTTTTTTCCTGGAAACTCAAATACTTCAAACGTAATAGTTCTATAATTTCTGTGAGTCTATCCTTTCTGATCTTTTCCTATACAACTAAGCATTCGCGTGGAATATTTTTCATAGGTTCGTTTCGACGTTCCTGTTCAGTTCCTTGTGTTTTGACTTACGTTTGCGCATGAATTTGTCTATCATTTCTTGAGATTAATTTTGTGTAGATGCCAGAATTTTTGAAGATGGTATATTTCCCTTCGAATTACGAACATTTATATAAGGATTACATGATTGCATTCTTTCTAGAAGTTCATCGATAGTAATATGAGAGGAATCATTTTGATTATCATTTTTTGCGGGAGTTCCAATCCTTGGTAATTTAATTTTTTCTAGAGTGGAGTCTTTTCCTTTGGTTCTCTTTGACAGAATTGAGTCGCATTGCATAGCGAGATTTGGTTATTTACTTCCTTGCAATCGACAAGAATAGAATTTAACAGGGAAGTATGGAAACTTTCCTCTGCAATTCCAGAATTATTTAATTCTTCAGAAGAGGTTTGGTAACTTCCCTTTCCAAAATTTTCTGAATTATTTAAATTTTCAGGAGAGATTTGGTAACTTCCCTCTCCAAAATTTTTTGAACCATTTAAATTTTTAGAAGAGGTTTGGTAACTTCCCTCTCCAAGATTTTTTGAATTATTTAAATTTTCAGGAGAGGTTTGATAACTTCCCTCTCCAAGGATTTCGGGTTCAGAGGAGATGTAGAAATATTTCCCTCTCGATGAATATTTGGAATAGAATTTTTTCTTGATTTTTCAATTCCTCTCATTAATTTATTCTCATCAAATACCTCAAAACTTTCATTTGTTTTTCTGTTACTCTTGTCGATCGACTACGTCTCCGTTCGTAATTCCGTCATTATTTGAACTGGCATCGTTATTAAAGTCTTCGAAATGGATTTAGATATCCCTTGGATGGGTTAGACAATTTTGTGCATTTGCAATTTCGTTTTGATTACCACACATTTCAATGCTTGAACTATCGTTGTCGAATAATTCAGTCAGGGGTTTGAGGCACAAGATTGGTACTTGTACCTCAACTTTTTCGTCTAAAGTGCTTATGACGTTTAAATATGCTTTTCCAGAAACGTTTTCTACTATTG